TTATGTTGCCCATAACTCGAAGTTTAGTTAATTAATTAACATTCGTGTTCTAAATTTGCCGTGGGCTTGCCTATTTTTGGAACTGGGTGGTTTCGTAACTCAATGTCCGAACCAATGTGATACTAGAATTTGGGATAAGGTTTTATTGTTATACAGTGTTTTTCAGACCACCAATTAAAATGATAAATCGGCGTCACGCTTGTGTATCTTGCCTTCGTGGTTTGCTTAAATATCAAACCACAAAGGTGGGCTTTATACTGTAAATAAATTGCAGATCACTGTCGTATTACATGGTGAGTGTAATTTACATATATGCACGTGACGGGGAATGCATTGGTAGTCTCAGCAACCAAATGTCACCACGATATGTCCTGCGTGTCGGTCATTTGAGATATATCGCTCATCCACCAATAATACTGCTCCATTAAACATCACGTGTTTGTAGCAACTTGAGTGGTTTGCAATGTGTTGTGTACGCAAAAAATACTAAGTAGAACCATGCAAGATACAGTCATTGTGAAGCATTACTATTGTTTCACTTGTGGTGATTTTTCTTTTCTGTTCAACTTGTTATAAATAAAACAACATTTTATCTAAATCAGATGTAACCATATTTATTTAATTCGTATGTAACTTTGTCGAATTAAATTTTCGATCTCTATTTCAGATGACCATGGAAAGGAGAGCTCTGGACACGGTGAAGTTAGTCAGTTGGAGGAATGGTTGTCTGAGAGGGGCCATAAAGTTATACCTAACTTGTTCCGAAATATAATTAATTCCACATCAAACGAACCGAGCAGAGGAAGTCAGGTGCTAATCATGGCAAGTCAAAGATCGGGATCTTCTTTTCTCGGTGAGCTGTTTAATCGTAACCAGGATGTTTTCTACTCCTTTGAGCCTATTCGTCCGCTTACATTCGCCGTGCTTCGCGGTGAGCTCGATAACAACCAATTCGAAAACGAGGCAATTGCTAAATTATCAAATACGTTGAAATGTAAGGATGTGAGGGTGTACAAAAGAACTGGAAAGAGTAGAACCGATCGTAAATTATTCGATTTGACAAAGGCGTGCAAGAACAAGCGCCACGTAGCAGTAAAAGAAATCCGTTTTTACAAACTCGATACTCTTCGAACACTAGCCGAGGACCCGAATTTGAATTTTAAAATAATCCACCTCGTTCGAGACCCGAGAGCAATTATAAATTCCAGGGAGAACTCATTTTTCTCTAATCATGACTTCAAAAGAAAACGAGTTCCGTGGGACGAGGTGACAGACTTGTGCAAAGACTTGCAGCATAATTTAGACCTGATAACGACACTTCCGCAATGGTTGAAAGGGAAATACTTTTTAGTCCGTTACGAGGACTTGGCACTCCGCCCTCTAGAGGCAACGAGGGATATTTACAACTTTTCGGGGATGCCGATGGACGAAGACGTCGAGAAGTGGGTGTATGAAAACACACAGACAGAGCAAGGTGGCGACTTATCCACGACTAGGAATTCCACCGAAAGAGTTACAGCGTGGCGGAATGAATTGTCGTTTTCCGTTATAGCGGATATACAGAACAAGTGTAAAGAACCCATGGAAATGCTCGGCTACATTTCACTACAAGACCAAACACAGCAAAATACGTTATCTTTACCTGTTTTTACAGATGAAACAGAGTTTTTCAACTTCCCGTATATCCTTTAACCCAACTTTCTCTTCAATTTCCAATAGTTCAGTATAACATACTGACAAATAGTTATCTTCAAGTTGTGCCCAACCCTACAGAAGAACAACGTTGCAAATCTTTTAACGAAAAGTGTGAAGGAGTCGCCACAGTTGTGATAGACATTTTGAGAATCCGAATTCACTGACTGTGAATCATTCGCATGCTAATGGTGCACACTAACTGAACATGTTAGCTTAAGTGCTATAATTCTATACGAATCGATGTTGTTATCGTCATCGTGAATTTTCATTTATTTTTATTTATTTATTGTTTTACTGTTCATATATTTCGTCCCTGGTGACCGTGGGGACATCAAAATTACTTCTGGCTAGTTAAGTTTAATTTTGCCTAATATACGCCAAGTGGCACTAATTTGAGTTGGAATATTATACCAGAAACACTGCCAGTCGCTGCGTTACATATACATTATATCGTGATTATAACTACTTAAATGAATTCATTAAAAATTAGTCACAGCATAGTATTATTCAATATCGTATGAGTCACAATTGGCAAATTGGCAGAATGAAACTCTTTAATTGGCCCGTCATGAAAATAGGCTTATACCACAGTTACTATTGGTTTATTTTGGTGTATATGTATAAATATATGGGTGTATCGACGTATTTTTTCTAACGACCAAGAGTTTCTTCACAACATCATGTCTTCGGCCGTATCCCAATGTGCAAATATCCACGATGTTGATTCTATGATGCTAACTGGGTAGCATCGTCGATAGTTACGTCCCCTTTGGCCCGCCACGTTCAAAAGGTCACATATCATCGTTAATCTCCTATGCATATGGATATTACCATGGAAGGTACTAACGTTAGTACCTTCCATGGTATTACTAAGCTGGTTTATGTTCTCCGTGTTTTCAATATGGTCGTCATCTTAATGCCCCCCCCCCACTCTGACGTGGTGCCAGTGGCCTTTACTTATTGTTATTTTATATTACAATATAATTTTAATGTATTTATTCTCGCACCAATACCCGACATGTATATCTTTTTTGCTTTGATCACTGATACTTTCTCGTGCAATATCTAGTACGCAATGTGCGTATTTTAACTTGTTGAAACTTCGAAATAAAATGTGTACATTTTGTACTAGCTTTTGTCTTCAATATTCTTTATGGACTAGGATACGACTTTTGCGGCCCGAGGTTGCGTGGCGCGAGCGCCTGAGCTTGGTACAATTACAATTTTACCACGGCGTGACCTCAAACACGCGACGTAATTTAGAATGACGCGTTTTTTTTTTTTATTGATGAAAGCTTGGCGTGCTGGGCCGGGCGTGATACGGGAAATTATTGCCCTGATGTGAGGGCGCAATTCCCATAGCGTTACGAGACCGGGCAATACGAGGTATTTGATAAGAAGTAATTTTATTCAGTGAATATTTTTAAATTACTACATTGAACATTAAATCATTGAATGTGACATGTATAAGTCACGTACTTCAAATTATATATAACGCCCCACACACTGATTCTGACGTTTCTTGCCCAAAAATGTATGACTTTTTGAATAAAATGATTTGACCTATATTTTCTTGAGTTTATTAATTAAGTCAATGCTGGAACATCCTTTTTCGATGTAAGTAAGTGAATGGAGTTTGGCGACGCCAACTACACAGCACCGATAATTACCCATAATCTCAGAAAAAATTGACGTTTGGTGAATCTCACTAAAATACAGCGATCTGTGGACTCATTCTGAGAACATACATTTTTACCTTCGCCAAGAAAGTTATGTTTACAGTTTGATAGTCTGTCAGCAAAATAACGGAAAATATATGAACGGATTGCTTTGGAATTGTTACCAGGTATGTGAAGAACCTATTAAATTTTGGTTGTGACCACGGTCTGGATCCAGGATTTTTTATTCAGGATTCTTCACCATTTTTAGCACAAGTTTAATTAACCCCATAAATCATACGCAGTGTTTGGTAATGCAGCATAAGATCCCAATGAGTTCTATAAGATATCAAAGATCTGGAGCTTGATAAAATTTATGGATACAATGATCAACAGAAAAAATGAGGGGAGGCGAGTCATGGTGGTGTATGTTGATAGAAATTAACATGCAAACATTTCATTAGCTTGACCCGGAACTGAAGGAACCATTTTTTGACAAATCGTAATAATAAAAATTCCACTAGCCCAACAAACGCAATAAGCTGGCTCAATAACCAGCATGAACGCACCCCCCACTCTAGACCAAAATAATGTTCGACTCCCGAAGGATTTTAGCCAGATTGATTTTTTTTAATTTGATGTTTTAGCTCATAGCTTTTATACTTATGGGAAACTATATGGCGAAAACTAATACCCCGTCTCTATGGAAACAAGTCTGGTTACGTCCCTCTGTTTTTTCCCACAGAAATGAAACATGCCGCTGTGTTCAATATCGGTGTTTTACATTCCACATTCAGTCAAGTAGATGCTCCCAAGTAAGATTCAGAAATAACTTAGAGGTAAAGGTAATTTACAGGACAAAACAAAAATGAGTATAAACTGACAAATTAAAAATGCTAGAAGCGATGAAAAATTAAGCTATTACTATTACTAATGCGAAAGGGAGAGTAATAATGAAACAATTATCTATATAACTTTGTTTGTCTGATGTTAAAACTGTTATATAGTCACTATGTCAGTTTATGGACAGTGACATGCATTACTCAATGTAACACCGAACCACGGATCAAAGAAATTGGAAATGTGGTGATTATGATCAACATGATCTTCCAAAATAAGTTTTTCATAATTTCGCCAATGGTGGCACTGTTTACGAGAGTTTATTCGTTATTTCCACTTTGTTCTTATATAGCGAAAATAATTTTTAATTGAAAAAAACTTGTTTTATCATTTAATGGGATGAACGGGATGGGGTGAACGGCGTTGAATAAATACAGTTGACAAACACAACATCCCCAGTGGTCTAGTATTCGGATACATCTCTTGCCATGAGGTTGAACTTGTCTACCCATTTAAAACTATAAGTATTACGATGATATTAGATTCTTTCACCTTTGTTATTCTTCTGATATTGAGAGTAGACTATTTTTCTTCAAATTGTCAAGAAGTACATCGAATTACAACTTGTGTGGATCACTATAATGTTGACGTCTGACCGTGTGACAAACTAGGGCGAAGCAAACCCAACAGTTCAACGTACATGGCTACTATGACACGATACGGCACTCTTGAATGTCAATTGACATCCGCGTTGTCTCACGAATGTTATTAAAGAAAAAAAAACATTATTGGGAGTGAATCGAACTACTAAAAAGTGTGGTAAACTTGCGCACTTTCAAGTTCTCAACTTCAAGTTCCGAAAGCCGGATCGTCTGTCCGAGAAATATAAGCCTTCACTAATCTAAACATTTGTCCGTCCCACAAGAATTTTGAGCGGTGCATACTCACCATTCAAAATGATCATATCACGAACGGTGCAAAATGTACGATTGAATGTGTCCTCAATCTGACCATACATTAAAAAAACGTTTTTTTTTCTTGAGCCAGACTGGGTAAATGTTGGGAATTTTTCTGAATTGAGACGATCGTTTGCCGATTTGACTGGTACATGTATTTCCAACGAGGGTAGCTGCATAATCACTCGTAGTTTTAAACAGCGCCGCGTCGCGATGGGATACGATTTCATGAACGTTGCATTCTGGGTACTATCCAACATGGCAGACAGCGCGATGTTTTGAAAACACCGCTTTCAAGTTTTGCACATTTTTGCCGGTTTAAACAGATCGCCAAACTGAGATGGAACGGTTCGCAGGTACACCAAACCCGTGGGTATCGGAGAACAAGTCACTCGGGGCAACGGGAAATGTGCTTACCATCGCCGAACGCACTGGTCACTTAAAACGGGTAAGAATGTACATGTATTTGTTTTGATTTGATTTTAATTCTATTTCTAAACCGTATACGGAAGTACAAACACTTCTCAATAAAACAGCCTAAACTTGGAACAGATCAGCAATATTTGCTTAAATTATGTGTGGTGAATATTCATTTAGTGGTATTAATATGGTGTGTTTCATCATTGCCCTTTCACTCACGACGTATCTTTCAATGAGCGAGTAGGGACTTGCACCGGTGCGGGGGGGGGGGGGGTGACTCAACTCTACTCACCGGTGAATATACTAGTGATTAATGGTACTTTTACATTCTCTAGATTATGGATGTATTAGTATTTAAAGTGCATGTGAAACGCTTGCTACCCCAATGTCCATAATTATTTATTAGTAATAGTATGTGAATATTATTATAGTTTATTTATTTGAACACAAAATAAATAAATTTAATAAAAAATGAATTTCAAAGTTGTTGCCTGCTACCAGTCACTATAACATTTCACAACGAAGCTCCTCATTAGCCCTCATTTGCATACAAGTTACTGTAAAATGACAAATTTTCACTGGGTTTAAATTTCACTGATTTAGCATTTCAGGCATATTCAGTGGGTTTCAAATTCACAGGTTTATCATTTAGATAATGTGTTCTATGCTCAATTTACATATTTACTGGGTTTTAATTTAATAGTGCATTTTTCACTCAGCGAAATAAGCAAAATTAAAACCCAGTGAATAATTAACCCTTTTACAGTATGTCACCAGAGGAACATTGCTGGACAACATAGACATGGTTACTTTGGTAGTAGGACTGTGACATGATTCTGGAGAATACACCAGGTTCCAATTTATGATCTATTGATTTTTAAATAATTATTCTAAAAATAAACTTCCACTAATTTGTTTTTAACTAATCTTGAACAACAATTATTACGCTGTATTATCAGTACATTAGCAACTTGCATTACTGGAGTTCGGATAATTTTCTCCTACATTTCGTGACCTGCCATCATAGCTTACAATAATATATTTTGAGTTTGCTCTTTGTTTGATCCCTATAAATGAACATTTATTGCACAGATTACTCCACACTATTTAGATATGTGGCAGTTTTGAAAGTATGCTAAGCCAGCTTAATGCTGGCTAAATGTTAAGTTACACTTGAACTGAACCTTATATAACGTACTTCCCCGAGTATAAGCCCACCCCTCTATATTGTGAATGGGGTGTGAATGAGCAAACTATTTTTCGACATGACTTGTTGGCGACCGTGAAAGGTTTAAATACTTCCTCCACCCGCAGTTTACCTTTCGAAAATTGCGAATTAACAACTATAAGGGGAAAAATCACAGATCGCATTTTTAACATCGCAGTAATTCACGTCCGGATTGTGTTGAAAAAATTACTTCATCAATAATCAGAAAACTTTGTCTGTACGACACAGCAAGATGTTCAGGTCAAATCATGATAGAAACACCATGGCGG